CACACACACACACACACACAAAATATTACCAATTAAAAGAAATAGATCATATTTTTTTCGTTCAATATCAGTGCATATAATAAATTCAATGTTTCAAACCAAATGTTTTTGAAAGTAAAAAAAGCCAAATGTTTTTGAAAGTAAAAAAATTGATCCAAAATATGGTTAGGGTCCAAATTATAGTTTAATTTTTGTATATTCAATATTCAGTCGTCGATCAATATTTGAAAATCATTATTCAGAGTTATATTAGCATAAGGACCGATTTTATAAATACTAGCCCTTAAATAAAAATTTATAAACATAGAATTGAGAAAAGAAAAGAAGTATAAGTATAGTTGTATTAATGAATTTAACGAACCTCATAATTTTTTGATTGCATTTCCACTATTTAAAAATTTTTAATTTTGTATAGTTGCGAATTTAAGATAAACAGTTATATTGTTTTTATATTGATAATTTAACAAAGGTATTAAAAAAATTTTATCTAATCTGATGTTATTTTAATATTAAAAAAGCAACGGAAAAAAATAGCAAATTATTTCTTTTTAAATAATGATAAGAGTTACTTTTCAGAATCAATAATTATTAACGATAACTAGTTATTTTTTTTAACTTGGTAACGAGTAATGATAATGAATTACTTTTAAAAAATAATTTTTCCAATTCTGTATAAATGTTATTATAATGCACTTCTTTCATCAAATATTGTTATCTATCTAAAGGATATCATATTCTGCAATGTTGACAAAAAAGACGATCTATTTGACATATTTAGAATATCTCACTTTTCTGTACTTTTTTTATACCTAAGTTTGTATAAATCATAGGATCTATAGGATTTTTTAATATTGCTTGTTTGAATTGAATTTCTGCTTCTTCATATTTTCCTTCTTTTCCCAAAATATTAGCAATGTTGAAATAAATAGAAGCATGATCTGGAATAAACTTCAAAGCTTTATTTGCCATTTTTAATGCTTCTTCTGTCTTACCTAAAATTATAAGATATCCTTTAAAAATAGTATTTTTTAAATATTATAGCAATTAATATATAAAAAAAATAGATTAATTTCAATAAATTTTCACACAAACCTAAATCATCTAATAGTAATATCATATTTGTCCATGCTCGTCTATGTGTGGATTTCTGTTTGGTCGCATTTATCCAAGCTTTTAATGCTTTGTCATATTGCTTTTGTTCTAGATACTATTGTTGGAAATTGTAATAGCATGTTGTAACGCAGGGGTCGGCAAAACGCTGAAATTGGGCACGGGCGCCCGCGAGCGCCCGCGAGTGCCCGCCTGTTGTACACATTTCAGGAGCGTATCTAATATTTTTAGTACCTTGGGATAAAGTTCTGCGTTTCCAAATGAAACTTAATTTATGGATCAATCAATTTCAATCTCGACAGTTGTTACATTTTTCAAATTTATTATCTGTTGCCATGCACATTCATGATAAGAAATGAAGAATATATAAATTCACTTCAATTATTATAATGAATTCGATTGTCAGTTTAGGGAAATGCATGTTTTAGAAGAAGACTTACTTATGACACCTTTTACTGTTGATATTAATATTGTTCCCGCATACAATTAGAATTAATAGATTTAAAATGTGACACTGCTCTTAAAAATTAAAGTTTTTATACAATGACTGACATCGTACAATTTTATTCATATATATCTCAAGAACATTTTCCTCAACTACATGCTTGTGCTGCAAAAATAATGAGAGTAAATATGTTCGGTTCTACATATTCATGTGAACAATTATTTTCTATTATGAAATTAAATAAATAGCGATTATGCGAATAGTTAACAGATTCATATTTGAATTTTGCAATAATTCGTTTAAGTTGTCAAAACGATAACACCTGATATATCGTATATAATATCGGAAAACTATGAATCAAATACTAATTAAATGTTATAAGAGTTGTTTATTTAATATTATTGTAAGAATTGTTTATTTAAAATATAGATAGTTATTAATTTATGCTAATTCTGGGTCTGAATTTGTGCAACACAATATTTTTTTACTCCTTGAACAGCACGTTCAATGAACAGATGTTCCTGCTATTCCCTCTCCTCACTTTATTGCGCCTAGCCGCCTAACGCTAACCCCAGCGCGCTCGACTGTTGCCCGCAGGCATTGGGCGCCAGCGAGCAGTGCCCACTTGCCGACCCCTGTTGTAACGTAGTATTGTCAAAGATAATTTAAAATTAATACTCACTAAGATGCCTAAATTATAATAACAATCTGGATAATTTAGTCGGTGTTGTAGAGCTGTAAAATAACTTGCTTCTGATTCCTCATATTTTTTCAATGCTGATTGAACTATACCCAGATTCATCCATGCTGTAGAAAAATCTTTCCTAAAATTCAGAAAGATATAGTGAGCCATATTTTGTGTGTGTGTGTGTGTGTGTGTGTGTGTGTACGCGCGCGCGCGTGTATATATATATATATATATTATTTATT